GACGCGGCAGTCAGCGCAGCCTCGAGCCCACCTCCACCCAGCGACGCGCCGAGCAGCGGGTAAGTGCCTGGCGCCCACTGCTCCCAGTGGTCGAGCGTGGCGAGGGCGGCGGCGAGTGGCAGCACGTACAGCGCCGTCGAGAGGGCGAACGCGCCTGCAAAGACGGCGGTGAGTGGTGGACAACAGAAAGCTGTGCGGCAGCGTCGGCCAGAGGGCGAGCGCGCCCCACAGCGCGCGCGGGAAGGAGGAGCGAGGCGAGCGCACTTCGGCCGCCACCATGCCTGCCGAGTCGTACCCGCAGCAGTTCCAGAGCACGATGCAGAGGAAGGAGAACCAAGCCTCCCGCCCGGAGGGCCACAGGCGCGGGTCCGGGTCGAGCGCCTGCGGGAAGTTGCGAGAAGGTTGCGAGAAGGTTCCGTGGGTCGAGCGCCTTCGCCCGGCGAGATGTGCCCGAGGTGTGCCCGAGCTAGACCCGAGGAAGCCCGAGGTGTGCCCGAGCTAGACCCGAGGAAGCCCGAGGTGTGCCCGAGCTAGACCCGAGGAAGCCCGAGGTGTGCCCGAGGTATCTCCGGCGCATCGTCTGGAGTCGGGCGCGCCTTTGCCCAGTGGGGGTGCGGCGCCGCGGCGGCGGCGAGGACGAGGGCGGCGAAGGGGAGGGAGACGAGGAGCATCAGCACGCCCGCTGCAGAGCCGACGACGTCGACGCCTCGCACGTTGAGCGCCGCGGCGAGAGCGACGAGCAGCACGCGCACGACCGCGAGGGCGACCCCTTCTGCGCCGCCCGCCGACCCAGCCTCCGCCTCAAAGGAGGAAGGGTCCGCCGCAAGGGGGTCGGAGGAGGGCTCGGCGGCGGCGGCGAGCGCCGATGCGGCGGCGGCGGCGGCGGTGGCGGCGGCGGTCGTGGCGTTGGTGGGGATCGAGGCGGCGGAGGCGGAGTAGGCGGCGGAGGAGGCGTCGTAGAGCAGCGCCTTGTGCAGGTAGGCTGTCAGGAGCAGCGGGTACCTGTTCGCAGGCCAGGCTGTGACGAGATGCTGCCCGTACCAGCTCGGCGTGAGCAGCAGCGGGGTGCAGTGAGCAGTCGAGGACGGAGCAGGCGAGGTTTGCCATCGCGTTGAGCAGCGACGGCATCGCTCCGAGCGCCTCTTCGACCCACACGACGTACCTAACCACACGACCGCGGTGAGACCAGTGCGTCTCCTCACACCCTCCCAGCCTCGCCGCCGCGCACCCGCCCGCACGCGGCAGCGCCACGCTCAGCTCTGCCGTCACGAGAAGCATCGGCGCCGACCAGACTGCGGGTGCGATGACCAGCGCGGCGAGGGAGAGGAAGGGACCTCCCAGAGGTACGATCTCCTCCACGCCGTACGCCGAGCCCGACACCGCGAAGAAGGCGATCCCCATCAGCTGCAGCATTTCGAGCTTTGGCTTCGGAGGCTGAAGCTCGTAGTCATCGTCATTCAGGTCGGCGTCGCGGAGGAACGGCAGCGCGGCTCGGTTGAGGGAGCGGCCGGCTCGGAGGGCGAGCCAGCGCCAGCGGGGGGGCAGCGAAGGCGACATATCCCTGAGCGGAACGCGCGAGCGGCTTGGCGGGAGCTGCCAGCGAGGCCGAGAATGGGGGCCGCGAGGCGAAAAAAGAATTGCGTGCTGCCGAAGACGGGGACGTGGCCGGCCTGTGAGAAGTTAACAAACATAACTCTCTCTCTCTCTCACAGCAGAGCTCTTTATGAACACACCAGAGAGGGAGGGCGAGACGATCGAGGGTCCCGTACCATGCGGAATCGACCCTATCCAGTGCTCAAGTGCTCAAGTAGCACTAATAATCACAAACCATTGATAGCCTGGATTTCGCCGATCGTCGGGGTCAAATCGCACATCGGCCGACATGATCGATGCCAGTTCGGCCGCTGCCGCGCCCAGCGGTGCCACTGCCGCCTCCGTGAGCGCGCCGATTCGCACCGTCAGAGGGGTGGCGGCATTGCTACTCACCGCCGGCGTGGTTGCTGCTTGTTTGACCCGACTCCACAAGGCTGGAGCCACGCCGGGCGCGGACTCGCTCGTGAGGGTGGTGGCAATGGACGAACGTTCGCTTCCAGCATGCGAAGACTTATTGACCACTGGTGGGTGTTCCTGGAGAGGGTCGATTCCGTACACCTTTAATGGCGTGAAGTACACCACATGCGAGAGCATCGCTGTTGACCTGAGAAAGGCGCTGGAGCCCTTCGGGGATCGTGGAACTCAATACGACCTGTGCTCCAGCGACTCTGACTTCGCGAGGACCGTCCAAGAGTGCTGCCAAGTATCGTGCGGACTTTGTGAGTCTTCAACGCAGCCCAAGCCGCAGCCCAAGCCGCAGCCCAAGCCGAAACCGCCGCCCCCCCCGCCACCGTCGCCCTCCCCTCCTCCTCCTCCGTGCCCCCCAAACATGGGGGACAGCAACCGTGTATTCACCACCGAAACTAAGGAGATGACCTGCAAGGACTTTGTGGAGAGTCCGTCTTATTGCGACCAGTCGATTGTCGCCGCTTTCTGCCCCGCATCCTGCGGCACGTGCCGGGACGGCTCATCGGGCCCTGCCCCTGCGCCAGCTCCGGCGCCGAAACCCGCGAGCAGCCCTACAGGAAGAGACAAATATGGCAACTGCGCACAACTCGCCAAGCATGGCTGCGGCGAGCATGTCAGCTCGGGGGCCAAGATCTGTGAGGCGTGCCCGCAGTCTTGCGCGGACTACATGTGCACGCCCGATCCACCCCCGCCGCCAGCGCCACCTCCAATGGACAAGGCGCCGAAAGACTGCATGGGCAGCAAGGATGGCAAGGATGGCTGGCTGCAGGAGCCGCATTGTAGTTCCCTTCTCCCCTTCCCAATCCCTGCCTTGACGCTCCGCACCCTTCATCGGCTGTCAGGACCACAACTACTACCGGAGCAAGCACAACGCACCTGCGTTGACATGGAACGACAACCTGGCCCTCAAAGCGCAGACGTGGGCAAACTACCTCGCCGACAATAAGTACTTCGGACACAGCGACTCGTACACCTGGAATGGTAAAGGCGACGGTGACGGCCTCGCAAACACAAGCCGAATGGAGAAAACCGGCATTACAGGCTCATTTTATGCCTCCGGGGAGAACCTTGCGATGGGGTGCGAGAGACTAGCCGAGAAGCGCCGAGGCCGAGGCCGGGCATAGCCCGGGGAAAGAGAGCGCCGCTTCGGCGCAACTTGAGAGAGAGGCCGGCCCTGCACGCACACGACATGACTCGGCCCTGTTGTTGCACATGAACAACTTCAAATCTTCACCTCTAGGTATGGGGAGTTCGATTGCGACGCGTACAGCGGACCGTACAACCAACACTGTGCGGTGTGGGGATGGTACAGAGAATACATGGACTGCTGGTCGAACAAGGACGACAACGGGGGCTGGCGTTCTCCCCGCTGCCCCCCAGAAGGCATGATTGGGCACTTCACGGCAATGGTCTGGAAAGGGGCGACCTGGCTCGGGTAAGCGCACTAGTGGGGCGCACACTCGACTCTCACGATCGGGGATTTGAGCGCATCGCTGCCGTGCACAGGTGCGGCAGCAGTGGGGGGTACTACGTCTGCCACTACTCGTCGGAAAGCTGCAAGCATGGGTCTAGGCAGAAGGGCTGCTGGGGACAGCAGACCACTCCCGGTCTCCCCAATTTCAATTCGGGCTCCTGTAACGTCACTGCCGCGGAGTGCGTCGAGAGGGGTCGCGAGGGGTGCCCTCGGGAGCGGCTCGTCAGGCGAGGCCTGGCAGCGCCCTGTGAGCGGGCGCTTTGCCAGAAGTGAGAGAGCGGCGCGGCCCCGGCAAGGAGCCGTACGGGAGCTAGGAGGGCAAGCGGGATGTCTCCTTTCTGCCCCGCGGCGGCGCTTACTACACACCGTCACGACCTTGCGCACCTCCAGATAGAGATGGCAGGAAGAGAGTGCCAGCGAATTAATTTAATTAAAAGAAATGTACTAAATTGTACCACACGTCCACATATTCTCTCGCTCTCTCGCATAGGGGGGAAAGAATTACAACGGGACTCCGGCTCTCTCGCACAACACAGGGTGGGCGACGGCTAGCGCACCACACTCCTCTCCTTAAAATCCCTGTGTGGTGGCGGCGTGCCGTTCTCCCATCCCTCCCTTGGCTTGTGTGTTTTCTTTCTTTCTTTTACAACACTGGGCACGATCCCTCGCGCTTCCTCTTCCCCGCCATCGCCTTCTTCTCGCCGCCTCCACCGCCCTGCGCCCGCTTCCGCGCGGCCCACACGCTGAACCGGCCGTCGTCGGAGAGCGTGCGCACGTCCTCGAGCTTCGGCTGATCGGCGAGCATCGCGCCGAGCGGCACGTAGGTCTGCACCACGATGAAGAGCTCGCCGCCGGAGCGGAGCCGGCGCGCGGCGCGGCGGACGAGGAGGCGGAGCACGCGGAAGTCGGCCTGCAGCCCATTGTGCACCGGCGGGTTCGAGACAATCCAATCGAAGCGGGGCCGCCGCGGCAGCGCCTCGAAGCCGTCCGAGAGCACGTGCGCCCTGGCGTCGGCGACGTTGCGCCGCGCCGCGTGGAGCGCGACGGCGTCGGCGTCGAGCAGGTGGAGCCGCAGCGCGCCGCCGCCGCTGCCGGCGCGGAGCGCCGCGGCGATCGTGCCCGAGCCGCTGCAAAAGTCGAGCACGCGCGCGCGCGGCGGCGGCGGCGGCAGCGCGGTGAGCAGCGCTGTCGTCATGACGTCGAGCCCGCCGCCCGCAAAGAGCCCGCAAAGAAATTTACTAAATCCGTGGCTTGGGCGGGCACTTTTGGTGGTGGTGCGCATTCTGCGCAGCGCCACCGGCGGCGCGTCGGAGTGGCGGCCGCCAGCGCCACTCGCGTGGTGCGTTGAGGCCTCTCCGGAGACCCTTGTCACCACCGGCGGCCGCCTTCAACTCCCCGAGCGGGGCCGGCTGGACCCCGGCACGCTCGGCATTTCCTGCGCGCACCGCGCAGGGCCACAGCCCCTGGGCCAGCTGCTGTGGGAACCACCTCAAGGCCGGCGCATGCGCCGGCGATGGACTGACCCAGCAGCTCAAGGGCTCGCACTCTCCTCACCACCACCGCGCGCGCGCTGCAGCAGGAGTGCCGCAGCCGCACTGCGACAATATGCCGCACTGCGACAATATGCCGCAGCTGCACCGCTTCTCCTGGACAGCCATCGAGTACTCGATGGTCCACTCCGAGGGCGCGGTCAGCACCGCGCCGGATCTCTTCTGAGAGCCGGCGCGGATCGCGGATGCGACTCAAGGCTCTGCCGGCGGGTCTGTGGCCTGGCGCCTGCCAGACTGCGGGTCCAAATACCCCAGCGCTCGCGCGCGCCACCGCCCCCGGCGCGGGGTGGGATATCAGTTCGTCAGTTTTGTGTCCCCGTCCCTGTGCTCCACCTTCTTCTCCCGTGTCAGTTACTGAGAACCCCGCTATATATAGGGCCACCTCGTGAGGAGCTGTCCTGTGAGCTGCGTGCTGTGTGTCCAGCAGTCCGGACCCGGTGCTAAGGCCGGTGACAGTGTGCCTCGTATCGGCTCCCGAGCCAATTATGTGCAGCGTGTGTGTGCGTGTGGGCCCGTCCTCCATGCTTGGAGGCGTGTAAGACTGACTAAGACTGACCACACGTCCACATTCTCTCGCATAGGGGGAAAAGAATTACAACGGGCCTCCAGCTCTCTCGCACAACACTGGGCACGATCCCTCGCGCTTCCTCTTTCCCGCCATCGCCTTCTTCTCGTCTCCTCCACCGCCCTGCGCCCGCTCCGCGCGCC